TTAGATGTTTGCCAGTAAACACTATATAAGTAAGTCATTAGATGTTTGCCAGTAAACACTATATAAGTAAGTCATTAAATAAATATATAAATAAGTCATTAGATGTAAAACTTAGACACAAAATAAATCTCAACACTTTTATTCCCATTGACCAAGGATACACTACAGGTACCATAGCTGCTTTGCTTATTATATGCATTACCATAAACATGTCTATTAATTTTCTTGAAATAAATTACTTCAACAAGCTTCTACAAGCATGTGATACAGCTCTTGAAATACAGTTTATGTATTAAATAAATAAATAGGATTCAACTCAGTTCCAAAGATCAACTTTCAAGTAAACTGTACTCCAAAGCTTGAAACAAGCTTATAAACAAAACATATACAGAGATAAAGATTAATTACAGTGTTTTTGAACTAACAAATAATGGCTCAAACTGAATAGTTAATAAAAAAGAATTTTCCCTTTTAATAATAATTCAAATAAGAGCCACAAAATCTTAACTCTTGGCTTTAAGGGAAACAAAAAAGAACAATAATTGAGCATCTGACATACGATCCATAGGAAACATAAACATACATGTGCTCATTCTGTCTTTTACCATAGATTGAAAGCTTGTTTTTATGTGGTACATTATAATACACATACTTGTTCAAAGCTCCAACAGTTTTTACATAGTATACATAATAAGGAAAACAATTCAAAATAGCAGATGAAACAAGAGACAACATATGAAGCTTTTCTGAAGAAGACTGTAAAAAGGTACATGATTAAAAGTCCTTTTTCCTCTTGGGTCTTAGTGAAGAAAACTGAAATACAAAAAAAAATATGTTAGACATTCTCCTACAGTTCTCCTTCAAGTGTATGGAAAAATTAAGACAAATTAAACAATAAAATAGTGTAAAGAAACTTTAGAATCCTAAAAGTGAAAATATGGAACTATATTATTGTAGTTTGCTACTTTATGATAACACTTACGTTTGTCCGTATAATATTTCAAATATTGCACAGTTGAATAGAGTTGTAATTTCATTTTAAATAACATAAAAAGCATATTATTTAGGAGAGCCAGTAATCTTGGCCGATAAGTTAAAAAACGTAACAGCACTAACAAGTTAAAACTAAATTAGCTATTAAGTGACTTCGTTACGTCACATACCTTATAAATGAACTGTAGAAAAGTTTGAGAGACTCAAAGATCTCCTTCTACCAAGACATTGAGAGAGAAAGTAGTACTACATTCTCCAGAACTGTCTACAGCAACAGCCGTGTACTGACCAATATCTGTCGCCAGTGCTGCTGGGATTTGTAAAATAAATGTTTTTCCTTTTTGAGTTATCTGATGCCTTGGACTTTCTTCTTCGAACAGTTTTCCATCTTTAAGCCAGCGTACTGAAAGGCAAAATAAAAGCATACACTTAGCATTTTCTGCATTAAATTTTACATAACAAAATATTTTAATTCAATATTCACTAGACAATTACAGTATACATTGCCATAATTATAGAAATGGCAATTACACAAAGCAAACAAAATAAAAAAAAATTTTTTTTGGAAAAATAGAAAAAGAAAAATATTCTAAAATTTATTGAAACAAATAGTTTTAGAAGAAAAAAAAACAACCTGTTAGTGCATCCTTTTCTGTCTTCAGCTTAAAAGTAACGGGTTGATTTTCTATAACAGTGGCAGACTGAGGAAATTCGGCAAAACCAGGACCCTTCAGAGTCTCCTTAGGAACTGTTAAGAGCAAAAAATAAATGTTTTGGATAAGACTGCATATGCACTAACAAACAAACGTTTTTACAAGAGGAGAACCACTTCGGAATTTGAAATTTAATGATAATACGATCAATACAAAACAACTGTAGATTTAAAGTTTGTTTAAAGCTGTCTATTAGATCTTATGACAAAGACTAAATAAACTGATGAAACTGAACCATCTTCAACCAGAAATTGTTAAATGAACTTAGACCGGTTATTGATATGTAACATCAACGAACTACAATACACGATACATAAAATTTAACCCACTGACTGTGACCGCTTTAAACGCACGCACAATTTTTGCAAGCCATACACCATATATGCCACACTCGCATTCAGCTGCCAAAGGTGAACCGTACCCTATATGCCGATTCAGTAGTCAATGGGGAAAATTTAAATGTATAACTTATTAAATGTTTCAAAAATGGGAGCAGAAACCATTACAACTTCTGTAACAGTTTCTCAATACTGTAATATTCACCAGAGATAGGTGTCAGCTTATGTGTCACCTCAATATTCAGTACAAATAAATTGTAAAAGTTTGAGTGCTATAAGTCAACTGGGTTTACTTGTCATACATCTTCCAGAAAGAGTGGGATCTTTACACTATCATAGTGATATAGATAGCAAGGTTTAATGTCTGTGAATATTAAACAGGCATGTAAATTTAAACTTCATTAAAGTTGTTATGGTGTTTTAATAATGAATTTTCCATAATTCAGCTACACAGATTTCGAAAATAATATCCATTTTTTTTCTATCATGTAAGGATTTTTTACAAATCGGGGAAAACAAAAAAACTGTTACTTAGATCAAATTATTATTTCATTTACCACAATGAATATTTTTTATAATTATGATTGTTAACAAAACTACAAATAAACTGAAAAAAAAGGGAAGAACATTGATGTCAAACGAATCTGTATCCTCATTCATCCTGATTTTTTTTTGTGAACTCTACGTCTTTTAGTCTCAAAGCTACATCTTGTGGTCTTTCTTTTATGTATTGCATTATGACGTTTTGTAAAAAATCTGTACGTGGTGGAGAAAAATGGATATCATTTTCGGAATCAGTGTACAGGAATTACTATAGAACATGTAAAAATTTCAAGACAATAAAACCATCACATGCCTATGTTATTTAAGTTGTACTATTTCATGTCTTCAGAAATTTTCCTGTGTCATAATAATAAGAAGGTTTTTAGCAAATGAAATAGTTTACGCTGAAGTTTTTAAAATATTCACTAAAAAGGTAGAGGTCAGTTCCGTCAGAATAACATTCCTCCACTTTGTTTCTGAAGTTACACTTTCTTGTAAGTTATTTAAATAACATTATAATGTGAAAGTGAGAAATGAATTTTGAAAGTTAATTGCCAAATATAATTCAGCTAATATTCATAGCTATGTTGATCAATAATTTAAAAAATAAATGAAAACATAAGAATGCCTATTAAGTTAATTTTTCCTCAATATTTACAAAAAATTTCAATAGTTTCTAGCAGCATTAAACCTGGAAACCAGAGATAGCAAAAACAAAAAATTCTCAGTTCACCAAGAAGATCACACTTTGAGAAGAAAAAGATTCATCTTACCTAAAACTATTAAGGTGCAACTACTAAATGCTTCACCGCCATCATTAAAGGCCTCACACGTGTAAATTCCTCCATCTTCTGGAAAAATCTCATTAATTACCAACTGATATGTATCTCCATACTGTCTGTAGTCAAAGTCCTTACTGGGTTTGATTTCCTTGTCATTATGGAGCCATACAACGTCAAATTTAGAGGAACCTTGAATTAAACAACAAAATCATAGTTAAACTTGTCGTGAGGACACGTTTCATATATGACTCAGTTAAAAATATCAGTAAAACCTCTTAAGTTACACTATATATATTGTATAATACGTAATGGTAAACATAAACAATTTTAACAAAAGTAAGTTGTTGAAAGGCAGTTACACTATAGTTACACTTAAGTTACACTATATATATTGTATAATACGTAATGGTAAACATAAACAATTTAAACAAAAGTAAGTTGTTGAAAGACAGTTACACTTAAGTTACACTATATATATTGTATAATACGTAATGGTAAACATAAACAATTTAAACAAAAGTAAGTTGTTGAAAGACAGTTACACTATAGTTACACTTAAGTTACACTATATATATTGTATAATACGTAATGGTAAACATAAACAATTTTAACAAAGTAAGTTGTTGAAAGACAGCTTACTTAAAGCATTTCCTTTTCCTGAAATTTTGAACTAAATATTTTAAGTCAATTAATACTTAATGTAATTAGATACTTAAAACTGGTGTAACCATAGGCTTCTACCTACACCCTCATTACTGGTGACACTAATTACTCAGTAGTAATAACTTTATTATAGTCTGCCTACATTTTTCTTACTGTAGTATTTGCAGATGCATTTAAAATCAACAGCCCAAAATTCAAGAGAATCTGTATGCAGAGTCTGAAATAACCCAAACTCGAACATGGCATTGTTCTTATAAACTGTGATTATGTATGATAATGAAGACACCAGTGTAATCTATCAATATGCATAACAGTAACGACTATTTATTCATCTGTAATACCCTTAAAATATTTTATACTGGCTACTTACCCCATTATAGTAACACAAGAGTAATATACTTACTTCTGATTGCACACTGAAGAGTTAAAGGTTCACCATCTTTAATCATTGAACTTTTCAGATGTTCTGTGATCCGTGGAGGTTTACTTTAACACAAGAGTAATATACTTACTTCTGATTGCACACTGAAGAGTTAAAGGTTCACCATCTTTAATCATTGAACTTTTCATATGTTCTGTGATCCGTGGAGGTTTACTTTAACACAAGAGTAATATACTTACTTCTGATTGCTCACTGAAGAGTTACAGGTTCACCATCTTTAATCATTGAACTTTTCATATGTTCTGTGATCCGTGGAGGTTTACTTTAACACAAGAGTAATATACTTACTTCTGATTGCTCACTGAAGAGTTAAAGGTTCACCATCTTTAATCATTGAACTTTTCAGATGTTCTGTGATTCGTGAAGGTTTACTTTAACACAAGAGTAATATACTTACTTCTGACTGCACACTGAAGAGTTACATGTTCACCATCTTTAACCATTAAACTTTTCAGATGTTCTGTGATTCGTGAAGGTTTACTTTAACACAAGAGTAATATACTTACTTCTGAACCTGAAGAGTTACAGGTTCACCATATTTAACCATTAAACTTTTCAGATGTTCTGTGATTCGTGAAGGTTTACTTTAACACAAGAGTAATATACTTACTTCTGATTGCACACTGAAGAGTTACAGGTTCACCATCTTTAACCATTAAACTTTTCAGATGTTCTGTGATCCGTGGAGGTTTACTTTCTCCTTTTTTATCAGTTGTCTTGGCACCTTCCATAGCTAAAAGGTAAAACAATCAAAACCTGAACTGTGTTTATTTGCAACAGTAATAAACTGCAATCTTTAAAGGAACAGAAAATAGGGGATTATTTACAAATTATTTGTAATAGAAAATGGACACATTATGTCTTTTAATTTTAAAATGTGGACATTACACGGGTTCTAGAATTTTGATCTGTTAGTAATTTCTACATTCTTAACTTTCTAAGTTACCGTAGGATGGAAAAACTTATAAGTTAAAACAGAAACAGTGACCTGAAACAGATTTTAAGTCATTGAGAAATATCACTTTCATAACAAAATACCTATATATTGTTTATTATTATGTTTACTTAACAGTTAACATTAAAGAAAATTAATGAATGATTTGTTTTATGATAAAGTTGAAAGTTAAAAACTATCATGAAGCTTTCATATTTTACTTTAAAACTAATAAATACGTTAGAATTAAACACTTTTGAGTACTTTATTTCTAAACATTTTTTTATTATAAATGCAAGGCGTAATCGTATGCATTTCCTAACCAGGACTTAACTTATAGTTCATGAACCATTTCAATACCTTGATTACAATAAGTTTACATGTAACAAACAAAATCTTATAAAATATAAAATGTTTCACTGAATATAGTTAAACATTTTTTTATCTCAAAATGCATTTCAGATAGATACTCACAGGTAGCTAATACCTCAAGCTATTGGCAAAAACGTTTTGTAAATGTACCATGTCTTTGAAAACTTCCATTAATAATGTGTCAGTCATATTGACCACCCAAGTTGCTTGGTGCTGGGGAAGTAAGGGTTCTTCCATTCCACTACACAGGAGAACCTTGGAGTGGTACAAAGACCAGACAGGAACAATCTGATCATCTGCATAAGGTCACACGCTCACAGGGTGTGCAATGGATTAATGCAAGTAGGGACAGAAGAAGCTGACCAATAAGTGGGTTTGGAACTACACACTTAGCTAATTATTATTTTCTATGCATTTGTTAGTGCAGTACGGCTTGGAGGATAAATATATATATATATATATACCATATTTGTTAGTGCAGTATGGCTTGGAGGATGAATATAAATATATATACCACATTTTTCGGAATATAAGACGCACCCTTATTTTGAAGACAAAGTTTTGGGGAAAAAGAAGCTACAGTTGCATTTGAAAGATTTTTATTGAACAAAAATTCAATTTAATACTTTAAAAATTAGTATATATTGTTCTAAAC